TATATATATATATATTAGCATCTATAATGTATTACCTCCTACAGTGTTCAGAATCTGCTCATGCATGTACCAGCTCTTCTCTAATAATCACTCCAGAAATTCTCCATTTATATATTCCCATGTCATCATTCCTTTATCTCCTCCTCTGGAATCAGCAGCATGAGTCTGAGAAACGAAACTGCAGCATCTCTCTGTTTACCATTTTTATGACACACCATAGAAAGCCTGTTGGGTATGTAAAACTGAAATTGCAACACTCCCACAACAAGTATCACAAGGCTGCTATGCAACTCAAAGGAAACATATACAAATTTGCACGCACATAAAAAGTAAAAAATGTGATACCATGTAAAACTGGTAGATAAGCACATGCAGTGACACATACTAACAGAAGAGACTGAAACCAAATATCACTTATTCATTTAAAGCTTTGCATAACAAGATAGATACTTTCGGTTTCTTCTTCCTATTTTCTTGCTCTTTAAAATTTATTTTCTTCATCTAGTTTTGTTTTTTTTTTAGCATTGCCACACACTGCCACAATATATATATTTATATATATAATTGTATTTATATTTATACACATATATTTGAGGATACACATTATCATAACATATGAAATGGGGAACACTAATGATATTAAATTAAAATGTAGTACATATTAAAGGTACATTGTAATCATTATTTAGTAATTCACTATTAAGGGGTGTAATTGGAGAGATTAGCCCTGTGTATATATAAATTGGTCTTTGGATATCAGGTACAATGTAGAGGTCAGATGGGAAGGGGAAAAAGAGTTTTAACCTTTTCTCATTTTTTTTCTAAACACATGCTAAAATGTGTATTGACTTTACAATTTGCTTATGATTATAATCGCAAAGTCCTGGGAGAAGAAAACTATCCCACTTGATGACTTGAGGCGTCGCATCAACCTTGACTTTTGAGAAAATGAGAGCTACCCTCCATAATATAATCTCCAAGTTTTCAAAAATGTGGGTGCCTTAGATTGCATAGTATTTACCTAGGCATTTTAGGAACCCTTATAACTATCTGATATACATGACAATTTGCAACCACCAACAGGGATTTCTGCCCCTTTCCTCCTCCTCCCTTTCCCCCTTCTTTCCCTTTCTCCTCTCCTTTCTCCCTAACCGTTTTTCCCCTCTCTCTCCCCTTTTCCCAGTTACCTTTTCACCTACCCTTCTCATTTAACACCACGTTATTCCATATATTTCCTTTAATGTCTTCTGCTCTACCCCTTCCCCTACTTACTCGCTACCTAAATCATAGTCCTCTACTCCCACACTCCAGACCCCTCTCTGAGGCCCCCATACCTGCCTTCCCCTTAAACAATGACAGACCTAGAGATATTAAGCGGAGGGTCTACATGACTGTGGGAAGGAATTGTCCCTAGGGAAAGGGTTAAAGATGGGGAAGGATTAGCAGATCTTACCTGATTGGAGATGGGGGTCAGGAGGTAGGGAGGAGAAACAAGGGAAGGAGCAGCAGAGGCTGGTGGAAGTCCTTTCTGTAAAGTCAACAGAGGAAGCAGGTTGTCCCACCAGCTGTCCCTTATGTAAGGTTGCTGGTTGTAGTTTGGTATTTATATGTGTGTTTGTCATGGCAGCTTGGCGAGTTAGGGTGTCTGGAAAAGGTGAGAGGATCACAAAATGGGGGGATCTAGTGGTATGGTATTTCCCCTTTTGGTGTTGATAGTTGATAAGGGCTCGGCCCCTTGGAAAGTCGGGAATGATTAATGTTGGAACTGTCCTCTAGCCAATGTGGGGTGGATTTAATAAAAGCCTTATTTGTAAACATGTGTATTCGGATGAACCTGCAAATCAACGAAAATCAGTTGATTCGGCGGTAATTAACAAATGTAATATATGCCCGAATATACTAAAACAATATTCAGGCATACATTAATTCATTTTCAGAACACGCCGACGGCCATAGTTGCCGCCAGCATGTTCTGCGCATGCCCCCGCCATTTTGGAGGCGGAATGTATGACGTCACATGACGGTGCCATTTTGGAGTAGATCTAGGTATACACCAAGATCTACTCCAAAGTGGCGGCACGCATGTGCAGATGCCGCCTTCCCCAAGGTGAATGAGTAAAGGGTAAATGTTACCCCTACTCATTCACCAAATAAACATTCAATAGTAAATAAACACATAACACAGTTTTTGACAATTATAAAAAAAAAAGTCCCATGATGTAAATTAAGAGACAATCACGATGTCCAGCTATGTAAATCCTCCCGATCCTCGATGCCCGCCGACCCGATGAAACAAAATATCTCGCCGTCCATCATCAGGCAATGGGCGAGAAATAAACAGCCTGCTATTGGCTATTTCAAATTGCAATTACCAATAGCATGCTGGCTATTGCACCCGTCCACTGCCTGATTTTAATCTGCAGAGGAAGACCGGAGAGAGAACTTTTTCCATCAGGTCCTCCTCTCTGTGGATTGACAATAGGCAGTGAGCGGTAGCAATAGCCAGCCTGCTATTGGCTATTTCCCATTGCAATAGCCAATAGCAGACTGGCTATTGCACCCGCCCACTGCCTGATGTCAATCTGCAACAGAGCGGACCCGAGAGAGAACTTTCTCTCTTGGGTTTTATCATCTGCGAGAGCAATAGCCATCCTACTTACGCTTGCAACCCCCAACCCCTTTTTCCTGTTCTGGTGGCCCACTGTTTGGATCAAGGGGACCCCATGCTTTTTTTTTTTGTGTGGAGTCCCCCCTTAAAATTCTGACCAGACCTAAGGGTCTGGTATGAATAAGGGGGGAGGGGGGGGACCCAACACAATTTTTTCTTTAAATAATTCAATTAAATATGCTTTTTTTTAAACCCATCTGAATGGCCGAAACGCAAAAACGAATATTCGGATTTGTTACGAATGACGAGTGGATCCGAATA